TAGCGAAAAAATTTGAAGATTTTGAGGACGTCCGAAGAACTATAGGGCCAAAGCAGTTAAACTCATTTGCTAAGAGAACGAACAATAACGATAATTGTTCTCGAAGGCAAGAACGTTTTCACCTTGGAACTAATTGGAATGATAGAAAATGCTTTCAATCGACGAGAACTTACGATAAAAGAGTTAAACAGGTAACATGTAGCTACTGCAGGGGACCAGGTCACTATGCCGTAGATTGTACAAAGCGCAACAAGGGTACGAAAATCAATAAATCTTCAAGGTCTCCGGTCCAGATCTGTTCTCGAATTCAGCAAGACAGAATTAAGACCAGGAAAATAACCATCGGAAAAAAGACTTTTGAGGCTCTAATCGACACTGGAAGCTCAGTTTCGCTCATTCGTGAAGATGTAAGCAAAGGAATCATCGAGCAATCGAAGCTCTCGAAGGACATTGTCGTGTTATCTGGATTGGGAAAGTACGAAGTCAAAACAAAAGGATCGTTCCAACGAGAAATCGAATTGGATGGAGAGAAATATTCCGTAATATGGCATGTTGTGCCTGCGGTGCATTTGGAGTTCCAGGCAGTGATAGAATCGGACATTTTGGAACAAGCTTTTGTTGGCTTTGATAAAAAAGGTGTTTATTTCCGTAAACACGAAGAGAAGGTGTGGTTTGTGAATACACAGGTTTATGAAGCAAGAACTGAAGACGAAATCGAAGTTAAACATGTTATCAATCCTCGAATAAGAAAGGAACTCTCTGAACTAATCAACAGCTATACACCTAAGAAGACCGAAACGATAAATGTATCCATGAAAATTATCCTGAAGGATGATATACCAGTTTACCAAACATCACGCCGTTTGTCGTTTCTGGAGAATCAGACCGTCAACAAGCAGATCGACGAATGTTTGGATAAGGGAATCGTGAGACCAAGCTCTTCTGAATATGCAAGTCCAATCGTGTTAGTCAAGAAGAAAGACGGTACCAACAGACTATGCATTGACCATAGGAAACTGAACCGAAAACTAGTCAAGGATCGTTTCCCCTTGCCACTGATAGAGGACGTATTGGATAGGCTGCAAGACACCAAAGTGTATTCCACGTTAGACTTGAAAAATGGGTTTTTTCATGTCGACGTAAACGAGGATTGCAAGCATTTCACCTCCTTTGTTGTACTAGACGGGCAGTTCAAATTTAATAAGGTACCTTTTGGACTCAGTACAAGCCCAAGCGTATTCCAAAGATATGTGTATAGCATTTTTAGGGAACTCATGCGAAAAGGCATCGTAATAATTTATTTAGACGATTTGATCGTTCCAGCTAAAGATGAGAAAGAAGGTTTGGAAAAACTAAAGAAGGTGTTTGAGGTCGCATCCAGATATGGGTTGGAGATCAAGTTTGAAAAATGTCAGTTTTTAAAATGAAAGGTGGAATTTTTGGGTCACGTTGTCGAAAATGGAACGGTACGCCCTTCAGTTGCAAAAACGATAGCTGTCAAGAGGTTTCCTGTACCAACGACTGTCAAACAAGTCCAAAGCTTTTTAGGACTCACTGGCTATTTTCGAAAATTTATTCCGTCATACTCTAAAATAGCGAAACCTTTGAGTGATTTAATTAGAAACGACAATCGATTTGTCTTTGAACGACCTCAAATAGAAGCATTTGAAAAGCTCAAGCAATTATTGACTGAAAGTCCAGTATTAAGTATTTTCCAGCAGGGAAAAAAAACGAATTGCACACGGATGCAAGTCAACAAGGCTACGGGGCCGTCTTACTCCAAGAGGCAGAAGATGGAAAATTGCATCCAGTTCAATACATGTCTAAGTAAACTCCTCCGGCAGAGGAGAAGTATAGCAGCTATGAACTTGAAGTTCTTGCTGTTGTCAACGTTTTAAAGAAATTTCGTACCTACCTTATGGGAAATCATTTCAAAGTCATAACGGATTGCTCAGCGTTTCAAAGGACTATGGACAAAAAGGATTTGGTTACTCGTATAGCGCGATGGGCATTATTGCTGGAAGAGTTTGATTATGAAATTGTGCATCGTTCCGGCCAGAGAATGCAACATGTGGATGGCCTTAGTAGATATCCAGTCGCAATAATTACTAACGATACTCTAACCGCAAGATTAAAAAGGGCACAACAAGAGGATGAATACACTCAGAGTCTAAGGTCACTGATTGAAACAAACAGCAATTCAGACTTTTTCGACAAAAACGAAATACTTTACAAATATGTTGAAGGTCGTGAATTGATAGTTGTACCAAGAGATATGCAAACTGAGATAATTAAGTTAGCACATGAGAAGGGACATTTCTCCGTTGCCAAGACAGAAGGAGTTGTGAAACAAGAATTTTTCATTCCCAATTTGAGCAAGCAGGTGCAAAATGTAATTGTTAATTGTGTGCCATGTATTTTGTCCAACAAAAAGAGTGGAAAAAAAGATGGATTCCTCAACCCCATTCCTAAAGAGGATGTGCCATTAAGTACTTATCACGCCGATTTTATCGGACCTTTGCCTTCTACTAACAAGAAATATCAGCATATTCTCACAATAGTGGATGCTTTTACAAGATTTACCTGGCTTTATCCCGTTAGATCTACTTCCGCAGAAGATGCTTTGGATAAATTAAAATTGAAACAAAAGGCTTTTGGTAATCCCAAGAGAATAATTACAGACAGAGGTTCTGCTTTTACTTCTGGAGCTTTTGGAGATTATTATACTAATGAAAACATTCAACATTTGCAAATCACCACCGGAGTACCCAGAGGAAATGGGAAAGTTGAGAGAATACACCGAACTATTATTCCCGTTTTGACCAAGCTGTCAATTGAGGAGTCTACCAAGTGGTTCACGTTCGTAGACCAACTTCAAAGAATTTTAAATAGTACATTTAATCGTAGTACTAAGTGGTCTCCATTTGAATTATTAATTGGCGTCACCATGAGAAACAAGGAAGACCTTCGCCTGAGGGAGTTACAGATGGACGAAATGATGGAGGAATTTCAAGAACAGAGGAACCAATTACGACAAGACGCAAAGAAAAATATCCAGAAGATACAGGTAGAGAATAAAAGAACCTATGACAGGAAGCGCAGGAAGGCCCCTAACTACCAGATGGGTGACTTGGTGGTCATTCAGAGAACACAATTTGGGACAGGTTTGAAATTAAGGCCTAAGTTTTTGGGACCATATAGAATAGTTAAAGTAAAACCTAGAGATAGATATGATTTAGAGAAAGTGGGTGATCATGAGGGATCTAAGATAACAAATTCATCTGCTGATTTAATGAAATTTTACTCACCATGATGATGTATTTTTATAAAAAGCGTTTTCTATTCTTTTTAAAAGAACATAATGTGTATTAATGTGTTTTGCTTTCTTTGCTATTAATATTTCATTTTTTAGAGTTGTATCCTTATTTTCAAATTTGAATGTCTATATTGGAATTTTTATCTCCGATTAATATTAATTTTGCAGAGGCCTATATTTTATTGTATGGTATGTAAAATCACTGAGGTCAGTGATTCCCAGGATGGCCGAACTTGTAGGAAAGTAGTGCCAGTTTTCTTTTACTTCTTTTGATTTTTATTGTAAGAGATGGCACCACTAATCGAAACCACGTGAGTTTTAGCTGCGCGATACAATGAGATCATGTATTTATAAAGGTGGCAGAAAGAAGAAACTGGGAGTTGCACCAAAGCTTGAACGAAGGCAGGTCAGAGGAAATCGCTCTCTCCGTTGTTTTGAGAAAGAGTACGTGTTTTCGGAATTAGTATGGTGTTATCTCGAATAATTTAAAACCCCTTGTAAATAGTTAATGTTTTAGTTGTGTTATTAATAAATTAAGTTGTTTTAACTCTGCGTGCTTATTTTAACATTAAAATCGAACCTTCCACTAGACGCCGTCCCACATATATATATATATATACATATATATATATATATACAGTGGTCTCTCGCTAATCCGAAGTATATTCTGAGCTCCTAGAAAAACTCTTGATATTTGGAACTTAACAATACGTTTTGACACACTCAATGTTTCGAAGTAAAATCTGTAGCTGGCCAGACTACAGCACGCACTCTTTCGAAGTTATCTTATAAAACTCTTGACAATTCGAACACTTTCTATCTATAGTCCTATAGTAAACAGGTTGGAGATTATATATTTTGTGTTGTATTGTCTCCCCTGTATCGTAGCCACTTTGATGGTCATCTGTCAGCTATCCCTATTTTGTGTTTCCTGGTTACTCAGGCGAAAATACACTTTTATTGCTTTCCTTCTTTAAGTGGACAGTTCTGGCAGCACCTGTTGTCAGCCGTCCATATATTTCGCCTAAAACATGGCCTTGCTATTCATGTGTTAATAAAGGTTGATCTGCTATTGCGATGCGTAGGGTTTTGTTTTTTGCGTTGGACTGACATAACTATTTAAGGCTCCTCTGTTTGAATTATAGCATGTTTCACCAAATGATGCATTGGCGGTAGTGGACCCAGCCTTGAAGAACCAATAGTGTTGGGGACAGTGACTGAGGAAACCGGATGCGAAACAATTTCATTTCCAATGAGGAATGGAAGAGATTAGGTGGAGCATGAAAGAGAATTACAACATAAATTTATTATTTTAATACATGACTTTTAATTTCTGTATGGCATTTATTTGGTATATATATACTTTTTAAAAATATTTCAAAGTAATTTTATACTTATGCCCAATTGTTGTTTTGGCACATAGTTTAAAATTTAAACGTGATAGAAAAAATATTCAGGAGTTTTTTCTTACCCTCTTGATAATTCGAACTCTTGATTATTCGAAGTTTTTATGGGTCCCTTAAACTGTGCGAATTATCGAGAGTACATTTTTTAAACTTGTAGTGGATGACACTTGATGTTAATGCAGTTTTTTCAAATATTAATTAAATTGAAAAACGAATAAATGGCAACAAACAAAAATAATAATCCAGCAGCATATATAGAAAGAAAAATCGTTCGTTGTGTCTCTGTAGCGCAATAGATAGCGCGTTGGACTTCTAATCCAAAGGTAGTCGGTTCTAAACTTACCTGGGATGACCTGATTTCTGAGAATGTGATTTACTTTTTAGTATGCTATTTTATTAGAATAAATAAATTTAATTAATGAATAAATAGTAACAAACAAAAAATAGCCCAACACCGTATATAGGAAGAAAAATTAAAAATTGTAAGAAAAATCGCTTTCTGTTTAGCCATTCAAAATTGTGATTATGTCTTATGTACAGTTACTCAAAAAAGTATTGGGACACTTGGCCTGTCTGAATAATAAAATCTTACATAGTTCACCATGGCAAATTGTAATGCAAGCTTCTGAAACCTTCTATTTGTAAAAAACTCCATTGCCATTTCAAACTTTAAATAGCAGTTTACAATGCATTTCAAGAGCAATTGTAACTACCTTTAAAATTAGATATTTGTTGTTTTAAATTAGCAAAATTACCCTAAGGCATCAGTACGCATTTAACTACTTCGCTCTTTTAAGAGTCTCACAGGAGACACATATTTCAGAAAATCATCGACAGTAAAAAATGTTTATGGGAAAAAACTACCAAATAATCTTAGATATTCATACAATTTGCCTACACTTGACATACTTTAGGGCTTTGATTCTTTAGTTTAAAAAAAAAAAACATGCCTCACATCACAACAATCAAAACATAAATATTTTACTTTTTTAGTATTTACATAAAATAATCTTTTTTTCTTTTCCTTTTAAGTAAAAGGATTTCAGTGTTCTTGAAACAAAATAAAGCAGACATTCATGAGTTCAGACAGAAAAAAGGAAAAATTTATAGTTTCCAATTTTTAACATTTAATTTTGTTTCTTTTTCCAAAGATATTCCTACCAATATTTTATTTCGAGGTCTCTGTTTCTTGGGAAATTTATTTTGAAAGTAAGAAAGAGTATCAGGGTTTTCAAGTTATCTGTATGTATGGAGAAAATAGATTTCATCTTGCATTAAAAGAAAGATGAAGTTTAAGTAAGTTCCCCCTTACAAAATAGGTTATATTTTCTTGTCTATGTATTTCTTTTAAAGAAACAGGGTATGCATATTAAAGATTTTTGCATTCTAAGACCAAACATTTATTTTTCACAGAAAGTAGTGAAAGAGAGAGCATTATGCATTTGAATAAACACTTTTCTTGGAATTAAGTTAGTAAAATATGTAAAAAACGGATTTTCTCTCTTTCTTATGTTATGTAGATGAAATGCAGAATGTGTTTGGTCTTTCTTGGAAAGGAAGATATTTGAGAAAAATACAATAAGCAAATTTTCGGAGATGTTGTCATATATAAACAAAGTAATTTAATATTGGTAATTTTCAATATATTTTCTATGTAAATGATTTCAAATGAGTAATGCTTTAAATCCATCATTTTCAAAAAACAAATACGTTGAAATTCAGCTGATGTCTGATATTTCATCTATTAAATGTCAAACAACATCTGACTTTCAAAATTACATATTGCCAATTTATCTGACCAATGCTTCATTTTATATGGCAATTTACCAAAAACTTCCTATTTTTAAAAATTTTATTTGACATAAAAGAGGTAAATAATTCAAATTCAAATTTTAATTCCAAACATAAACTTGTATGTTTATGTTTGGACTGCACGCAAAATTATTATTAATTGCGTTTGTTCACCAAATTTAGGTTAATGTTTTTATAAAACGTTCCGCTTTAATCTCTTATTTTCGAAATATAAAAACAAACTATTATTCCATTACGAGATTAAGTACAATAAAATTCAAGAAAGGTAAAAAAAAATACACAATTGATTAATTGTACATGAAAAGTAAAAACGTTTGGGGCTTTAAAAACTTACGTGTGTTTATTTTTTAAATATTTTCTTTTATTACGTTCATGCCTTCTTGTACCACTAATGAGCTTATTTTTTCAAATGAGTATTATAAAAACTATATATTATTTTTAATGTTTTTAATGGATTATAGGGAAAGTACATGGGGTAAAAAATTAAGAGAATTTGCATATTTCATTGAACTGCATGCAAAAAACTAAACTGAATGAAAAACCACTGCTTCTAGATAAAAATGCAAATCTTGTACGGTAAATATTTAATCTTACACGTGTGTGTAGGAGGAGCCAGAAGGAAAACAAGCTTTATTAGCACGTGTAAGTTAAGACGTATTTTGTTCGCCAGCATACCTCCGATAATGTCTTGGTGTTATTTGGAAGCAATCGCTTCAATTTAAATTGTAGCAGTAAATATGAGTAACCACTAACCACTAATGTTTAGATAATCGAATGAGGTGACGAATTATTAAAAGCATAGAAGCAGACCAATGTCAATCCCAGATTTGTAGAGAGTTCAATTTAACGCGTCGTGTGTAACTTTTAAGCCCAGTGTCGTGATTGTACCTTGTCGAAACACATCCAAGCTCCAGGGCAAGGTCGTTCCGAGAACCACGACGGCCCGAGAAGATCGTCATTTGTCGACTATAGCGATGTGTAACATATGAGCTACAGCTTCTCACCCTCACCTTTCTTGTTACGTGTATGCAGCCACAGAAACCTTTGTATCAAGGGTGACTGTTTCAAAAAGACTTTATGAGAGAGGGTTGTTTGCCAAAACTGTTTGCGTTCCGTTCACGTCTACGAACAGAAAAGTCCGTTTATCACGGTGCATACAGTATAGAGATTGGAGTATGGATCAATGGGTGACCGTTTTGTTCAACAATGAGTCTCGTTTCTGCCTAAACACCAATTATTGCCGTGCAATCATATGGAAAGAACTAGGGACCCACTACCTGCCCTCCAATAATCACGAAATCGACAATTAAGGTGGAGGAAGTTTCATATTCTGCGAAACATTATGTTGGATATCCGTACACCTCTCCATGTCTTTGAAACAGGCTCAGTGACTGGAGTGAGGTATATGTGTGAGGTCTTGCAGCCCTATTTTCGTCTTTTCAGGGGTACTTGTGGCTCATTTAAATTAACGATAACGTGAGGCCACATAAAACTATTCTGGTCGATGGATTTCTACAGAGCGAGGATATATACCGTATGGATTGGCCAGCCAGGTTTCCAGACCTAAACCTTTAGAGCATGTCTGGGACGCTTTAAGAAGGGTAATTGCCACTCGCACCCCCCCCCCCTCCAAGAACCATCCATAAAATGAAAACGGCGTTGCTGAAAGATTGGAGCCAATAGCCACAAGAACTAATATAATTTGCCTTATTCCAAGTATGGCTTCACGCTGTGAAGTCTGTATAGCTGTAAAAGGGAGTCATGTACCCCCCCCCCCATTAACACCTTTTTTTGTTTATTCTGCAACCGTTGTTTTATACCTTCCAACTTCAATGAGAGTGTTACGCTCGATCATGCTTGAGCATTGCAATTGTTGAATGGTTATTTGTTTTGTATTATATCAATATATGTACATATATTGATATAATACAAAACAAATAACCATTCAACAATTGCAATGCTTGTACATATCAAATTTCATTAAAATCGATCCAGTAGTTCTAGAGATAATCGATCAAGTCTGAAAATTCTCTTAATTTCTTACACCAGTGTTACAAAAATTAAACATTTTTCTTTCCGCAGGATTAATGTATTACTTTAAATTACATGCAACAAAAAACCCCGAAAAAATAAATATAAAAACAGGATAATGTTATTCAGACATTTAAGACAAGAGTGGAAACGAAATTTGTCACGAAAATTATGTTAAACTATATTTTCCCCCAAATTGGTTAATTTTTCTCCATGTTTGAATTTATATTTTTTCTTTTTGTTCTTGAATTATTTTTTCTAATAGAAATACAAAATTTTTGCATATCATGCCAGTTGGGAATGCAATCACTTGCTAAAAGTTTCAAATGATAACCTTACTCTCGGAACACAATATCATTGTTTATGTGCAGGAAAACTGCATGCATTTTCAAGTAGGGCATAAATAAATAACAATTTTTTGACTTATGAATATAAACTACAATAATGGCATTTAGATGCATTTTTCTATTTATTTATTTATTTATTTTTTTACTTCTTGAATTTTACATTTCAGACCTTACATGTTAATTTTAGGGAAATTTGTTCCTTTATTGCTATTTTGTTTTCATTATTAATTTCATAATTAATTTTGTTTATTAATTTGCTTAAATAATGTTATCATTTTATTTCATTTTTAGGAACTTACTAAATACATTCTGCATTAACAAAAGGTGTACCTTCAATTGACACCGGGGGGTAATTGTTTAGTGACCAATAAATCGTATCTGACCATTAAATACCCGCTTTTACCAATGTTAAATACATTACAGCAAGCATATACATTTGTCTCATAATTTTCTTTCCACTTAAGGCATTCGACTACTTGTGTGTGACAACTTTCTTTTATTAAGAAAAGGAGATCTGGGGATTTGTGCATGGTTTTTAGATTTGTTTAGTACATTTTAAGAAAAATATGCTAAAATTAAGAAAATGAAAAGAAATCGGTACTACTAAAATGGGAACAAAAATGGGTAAAAATTTTCAAAGAATACTTTAAACGGGGCCCATTCTGTAACAAAAGATTATGAACAAACATTCAAATTTTCAATTTTGATGTGTTGCTATGTTATTCATTTTTGAAATGACCAAGATAAAAGATATTTTAATTTTTACAAAAACAAGAGCACTCTATCTTAGTTATTATATGGAATAGCTTAAAACAACAGCGATTATATAAACATAAGATACTTTAAATTTTTTAATAAAACAATGATTGTTAAATCTGAAGTTTAAATAACTTCTACTATTATACAAAACACATACAAAGAATTTCACACACACATACAATTACTTCTATTCAAAACTTTTTCAGCAATCGCTGCCTCCGTTTGAGCATTTTCAATAAAACTCTTTTCAAGTAAAACGCGTTTTAAAGTATAACATCTTTCTTAAAGTAATGGCGTCTGCTTTTACTAAAACATTTGTAGCTTTTGTTCCAGAGAAAGGGAAATAATAAATTTGGTGTTTTTATAAAGCTAATAAGATGGTAAAAAGTATCATGAAAAATT